GACGTCCACAAAGTCAGGCCTTTACGGAGGTGAACCTCAACAGAGTTTGAATTAAATACCTGATTTGAAAACATCCTAAAATGTAGGATTGTGAATAGAAGTATACATTAACTTTAAATTGTGAGTCTGGCTGTTTAATTTCGAGTTTTATGTTGCCAAATGGAGTCAGCAAATAAGAATTGTTTTATAAAGAGAGTAAAACTTTTCCAGTTATTCTGAGAGTTGTTTTCTGTTGAGCCATTTTTGGAAATTACAGTTGAACCAGGAATGGAGAAGGGAGTTCTCTTTAAGGGAATATTGGCTTTTTGAATAGAATTCAGTCATATATGAATGTGGTGTTAAAAAATTTGAGGTCCTATCTCCTTTATCTTTTGTTTTCCTAGCCCCTTCCAGGAAGTCGGTTTTGACAGACCCAGCTAAACTCAAAAAGCTGCAACAGAGTGGCGAGGCCTTCGTACAGGATGATTCTTGTGTGAACATTGTGGCACAGTTGCCTAAGTGCCGAGAGTGTCGCTTGGACAGTCTCCGCAAGGATAAGGAGCAACAGAAGGACTCACCTGTGTTTTGCCGCTTCTTTCACTTCAGGAGGTGAGGCATTTTGGGAAAAGTTCAGATAATCTGGGGATACTTTTTATGCTAGATCATCTAACCTACCTTTTTTACTCTTTTATCAACAGTAAATCTAGAAGTAAAAAGGTGGCAGATGTTGCATTTGTAATCACTAGGTTGGAGAATCTAGATCTTATTGCATGTGACTTTTCATTCTTATTTTTGTTTTTTTTTAAAGTAACGAAGCTTAAAAATATAAACTTCTATTTCTGAAAGGAACAGTCATTATAGAAAAATGTTGAAGCTTCTGAAAAACCACTACAAATAACTACTATTAACTTTTCAGTGCATTGTATGATCATAAAATGTATTCAGGCATACATAGTTGGTATACTGTGCCTTCTGTTTTGAATCTTATTTTCCTATTATGTAGTAGGGACCTCTTGATCATAACCTTTTCCTTAAAATACTTTTGAATTTCTGTGTAAGAGCACATTATAGTAATGTTTGATAATTTATTTCACCAATTCCCTTGTTGGTATTAAGATTATTTTGTATTTTTTGTGACTGGAAATAATGCAGAAATGATCATCTTGTCCATGTCCCTGATTATTTGCTTTGGGAGGATTACTAGAAATGGCATTTCTGGGTCAGAAGGTGTGTGTGTTTTAAGACTTTGATACACATGTTCTGTCAAGTTATCCTGCAGGAAGGTTGCACCTGTGTCCTTGCCCACTGCAGGGTTTGAACATGCTCCCATGGTCTCTGTACCATTGGCAGCAGGGAGAGGCATATCTTTTAAAAAAATCTTTTCCAATTTTATAGGCAAAATTTTCATATATATATATATATATATATATATATATATATATATATAAATTCAAAATCATTTTCTTTAAATTCTTCTATCCTGAGTGAAGAAAAAAGCAGCCCTATCTTCTCTTTTGTTCATATAGAAATGAACAGTGTTGGCATAGTTGAACTTGAGATAGAATTCACTTTCTCAGAAATCTAGGTACTTTCAGGTTGAACTAACTCTAATCATAAACAGAAGAGGTGACTTCAATTTCTTCCTATTCTCCTCCTCCCCTTTCATTTTATCTAAGTGAAAAGATTGCTGATGAGCTGAATTAAATGCACAGGGAATTTAGATCATTAATTATATATGCTTGTAATTTTCAGATTCAGGCTTATTTAACAAAATAAGAATTTTTTAGATACTAGTTTGCCCCATTCATCCCTTTGTAAATTGCAAAAGCACATCATAAAGCATGTGGGTAGCATTTAGAGCTGTAATACTGTTAACATATGTTAACATATGCATATATTAATATATTTTGAATAATTCCTGGCCCAGAATAAGCTCTCAGTAGAGGGTAACTCTATTTCCCTTCCTCTCGAGAATTTTTTTCTTAAACAGGTGTGTTACAGTGCATGTTCATTTGTATGTGTATGTATTTTGAAGAAACTGAAATGGTTGTGCTTTGTACAGGTCTTTGTGTTTCTATCATGCACTTGATTTCATGTTGTTATGGCTCCTCTGCTATGAAAGGTATAACTAGATTGGATGAGAGATTGGTTTAAGTTGCAAAGGCATTTTAGGGAAGAGATAATTTATTTTGTTTTGTTCTTTATAATATGATTAGAGCTTTTTTTTTTTTAAACCCACTATATTTTTGTAACAGTCTAGAAGTCATTGACTTTATGACTTAGCTGTTTTTTTCATTTTTGACTTCTTTAAAGGGGAGAGTACCTTTGCCTAATGCTGCATAGTAGAAGCCAGTGTAGTAGAAACTAGAAAAAACTCATATCTTGGTGAAAGAATATCATAATTTAACTTTTTTCCTGATGTTTAGAGTGAAGATCGAGGCTGTCATTAGCCTCCTCATCAAGTTTGTATCTCATTAAACTCTTTTGCAAATAAAATAGGAGTTAGGGGTAGGGTCTCAGTGGTAAGGCTCAGTTGCTAGGTCCTGTTGCCATTACGTCTCACTTTGAAATGCTTTCAAATTTATTTTTTAGTGTTATGACTATCTCTAATTTGGACCGTCAATTAAAAACTTGCATCTCTCATTTGGACTGCTTGAAATAATTTGCATATGTTAGCTAACAGAGTCTTGTCCTTCCAGTTTATTCTACACTCTTTTGGACAAATGGTTTTTCTAAAACACAACTTTGCGTGTGTCTCACATGATGACTTTTGATAGCTGCCCAGTGCCTAGCAAAGTCAAGGTCCCCAGTGAAATAATGAAGGCTTCAGCAATTGACCCCAACTTACCTCTGCAACTTCTTCCTGATTCTTACCTATTTGAATAAACCCTTTAGTCTAATTGGTCTGTTGTCACCCTGTTCACCTTTAGTTTTCTTGCTTTTATATGAAATACTGTCTTTTGGACATACCTTCTTTCACCTAATTGTCTGCCTTTTCTTGCCAAAGCAAGCTCAGTTACTCTCTTTACCGTGAGGCCCTCATCATATTGGCCCACAAAACTCATAGTCAGCAGTCAGCACTTCGTCCTCTGCTCTTACAAGAATTGATGACTGTTACGATATGTTACAGGCTACTTCATTGTGTTTTATGTCTATTTCTTATGTCTCCTACTAGAAATATTTGTTTGTATGTATGTATGTATGTATGTATGTATTTACTTATTTATGTTTAGAGACAGAATCTTACTCTGCTGCCCAGGCTGGAGTGCATTGGCACGATCATAGCTTACTGTTATGTCAAACTCCGGGGCTCAAGTGATCTTCCCATCTCAGCTTCCCAGGTACCTAGGACTACAGGCTTCTGCAACCATGCCTGGCTAATTAAAAAAAATTTTTTTTTGTAGAGACAGGGTCTTGCTATGTTCTCTGGGCTGGTCTCGAACTGGATCCGTCTCAGCCTCCCAAAGTGCTAGGATTACAGTGAGCCATTGTGCCTAGCCAGAATACTATATTTTTAGGCTGGGCATGGTGGTTCATGCTTGTAATCCCAGCACTTCAGGAGACCAAGGTGGGAGGATTGCTTGAGCCCAGGAGTTTGACACCAGCTTGGGCAACATGACAAACTCCTGTCTCTACAAAAAATGGAAAAAGAAAATTAACTGGGTGTGGTAGCACATGCCTGCCTTCCCAGCCACTTGAGAGGCTAAGATGGGAGGATTGCTGAAGCCTGGGAGGTGGGGGTTGCAGTGAGCCATAATTGTACCACTGTACTCCAGCCTGGGGCATTGGAGTGAGAGCCTGTCTCAAAAAAAGAAAAAAATATTTTGTGTTTTAAAAATTTAAAATACATAGCTTATGAAAAAAACATTCAAGTGTTACAGTATTGAAGGCAAATAATGAACAAATGGTCTGCCCTTTGTTCCACTTCTTAGGTTCTGAGGCCCATTTTAATGCTTCCCTCTTTCCAGAAGCTTGGACAGTAACATGCAGCTGGAATTCATATAGGCACCAAGTACCTCACAAACCAGTGTGGCCATTGCTTCAGTGACTGTCTAGCGGTTACCCTTCTTTAGCTGAGCTTTTGTCTTGAAGCAGTAGTTGTATTTAAATCTGATCAGGTTATTTATTACCTTCTGTTTGTTAACGACTTACCTTTGTAGTAACTTACGATTTTCCTGCTCTTAAGTGCCAAGTCCAGCAGGTCGAACAACTATCCCTGGAGGCAGTGTGATTATATTGGTTTGAGTGCAAAATATACCTCTCTCCCCTTCTCCTCGCTCCTCTTTCCCCCTGTCTAGCTTGTCTTTTGGGGAAAAAGTGTTTTGAATCTTCCTACTGACATTGCCAAATAATCATTGGCTGTGATTAGCCATGGAGATTACAGAAAACTAGGAAGGACTTTGTTGATTTAAATAGTAATTACAAGTTGTGGATGGGCACGGTGGCTCATGCCTGTAATCCCAGCACTTTGGGAGACTGAGGCAGGAGTATCACCTGAGGTCAGGAGTTCAAGATCATCCTGGCCAACATAGCAAAATTCTCTACTAAAAATACAAAACTTAGGCAGGAGTGGTGGTGCACGCTTGTAATCCCAGCTACTGGGGAAGCTGAGGCAGGGAGAATTGCTTGAACCTGGGAGGCGGAGGTTGCAGTGAGCCGAGATGGCACCACTGCACTCCAGCCTGGGTGACAGAGCGAGACTCCATCTCCCCCTCGCCCCCTCAAAAAGTAATTACAAGTTGTAAATCAGTTTTGTGTGTGTGTGTGTGCATTATATCTTTTTTTCCCCTGCTTCCCTAGGTTACAATTCAACAAACATGGTGTGTTGCGGGTAGAAGGATTCTTAACACCAAACAAGTATGACAACGAAGCAATTGGCTTGTGGTTACCTTTAACCAAAAACGTTGTGGGGATTGATTTGGACACAGCAAAGTACATCTTGGCCAACATTGGAGACCACTTCTGTCAAATGGTGATTTCTGAAAAGGAAGCTATGTCAACTATTGAGCCACACAGTAAGAGCATCTCTTAGGGGGTAGGATTTTTGAGCCCAACTTGATTTTTGTTCCTAAGTGACACCTAAGTCCTAATTGCTTGGGTTTTTTTTTTTCACCCAGAAGTTTAGATAACTTTGGTGTAATGAGGTTGCAGTTTTCCTTTTGTAACAGGTTTGATCAGAGTTAGCCATCTATTTTTGGGGTTTATTTTGGGCCAATTACCAAAGGAGTGGAACTCCTTTTTTGTTAGGAAAGGTGAAGGTACAGTTACCAAAGGAGTGGAACTCCTTTTTTGTTAGGGAAGGTGAAGGTACAGTTACCAAAGGAGTGGAACTCCTTTTTTGTTAGGAAAGGTGAAGGTACAGTAATGGTGGATTTGCACAGCCTCACCAGCAGTGCAGGCACACTACAAGGGGATGAGGTCTCAGATTGGTTTATTTTAAAACAAAGGTTATTAATCATGAATACATTTCAAGGAAAGAAAGAATGGGAAGGCTGACTCTTAGACCTACTGGGTTAGAGTCTGCAGGGCTGGGTCCCAGACATGAGAGTGAGAACAGGTTCAGAATGGAAATGATTGTTAGAGTCAAGGTTTGAAGGGAATACTTGGAGGTTCTAGATGGGCATGTGCTTGTGTCCTCTGCTCTTTGGGAGCACTCTTATGCTGATCTGGCAGCCTGTTAAGCCACAGGAATCAGGGTAGGTGCCATATTAGAGCCAGACCTCTTTCATGACATCTCAAGCTAGGATGTTTGGAGGACGGTACAGCCTCTTCCTGTCCATGTCTCTCTGTGGAAATGAGTTAATCCAGCCAGAAGCACCATGGGGTATCTGTCTTGTAAGCCTCATATTTTCTTCCATCATTTTATCTTTATCAGTGGTTGAAAGTTAAAAGTGAAGCCTTTCCATTCCTCTGGTATGTCTCTTTTTAGACTCTGCTTACCCAAGTATGTTTGAATACAAGCATCCATGCCAGTCTTAAGAATTTTGATATATTACCAGCAACTAACCGAAGCTAGCTTAAGCACAAAAATAACTTACTGAATAGATGTGGATACTCTCTCAGAGTCCAAGGAACAGGACTAGGGCATTCCCAGCTGTAGGAATCCAGAGCTGCCTGGGAGAAAGGGAATTGCGAGTGCCTGGAACAACCAGAGTCATTCTTTAGAATTACTTCATTCTGCTAGGGTAGTGGAGACTCTAAGTCAAAAGTCTTATTATACTTTTCCCCCCTGTAGTCTGTTTAAGACAAGCAATATTAGTTTTCCACTTTCAGTAGAGATACAAAGTTTCTTTATTAAATATATTTAAGTAAGAGTAGTAGATGGAAAGAAAAATTCCTAAGTAACTGATCTGGCAGTGGTACATACATGACTGCAATGTGGAAATACTTTTTTGGAATGTATTAGTAACTTTGCTCCTGAATGAGCAGAGCTGTTTTAAGCAAGTGATGGCTTTGTCTTCGATAATGGTGAGTCATCTGAAAAATGTGTTTTTTTTTTTTTTAATATAGAAAAGGCATAGACAGTTATCTTTTAGAACATAATTAAGAGACTCTCCTCCTTGAAGACTTAAATGTGATTAACCTTTCCTCCTTGCCTTTTTGATTATCCTGTTGCTCTTTCTTTTCTCTATGACAAGCTGGTCAGATTGGAGAGAGAAACCCACTGTGAGTGACACTGAAATACGCCACCATACCCAGAAGAGTTTACCTCTGATCCTGAGATTAGGGAGCAGATCTCAACTATTACTACTTTTATTCTGTCTTTTCAGTGACAAATAATCATTAAATGGGTGGCTAAGAGATCTAAGAGTACTTTCTGATAAAACAGTCTAATCCAAGTGTCCAAGATCATAAAATCTCATTTATAAGATGCCTAAAGCTATATGTATTGTGTCCTGTGCTATTACATTATAATGTAATGGCAGAAGTTCATTCAGCAATTGGTTTGATTTTGTATAAACTAAAGCTTGGTCATTTGGATAGTGTTCAGTCTGAAGAAGGAATGAGTTAACCCCAAACTGGATTAGGAAGAAGATGTTCACTGTAGAACAGGAGTGCAGCAGCATTGATCCAGTGTTGTTCAGGAGAGAGACACAGACTGTCTGCCAGGAGTCTCCTAGTCAGGAGACCTTGGGCTTTTCTGTGACCCACAAAAATGTCCTCCCTTTGCTCATATTTCTGAAAGCTTGCTGATACCTGGTTTGGTTCCTTGATCTGGCACTCCTCCATCTGGAGGAAGGGTCCAATGGCCTGTCCTGTTTTGGAAGGCCTCTCTCTCCAGTTATTAGGTCTTGGCCACTGGAACAGAAAATGCTGCTTTGTGGAATTCGGGGTCCTGCCTTAATCTGCTGGATGTTTGGTTAGTGTGAGTCAGTCCTGGGTGCCTGCATCATTTCTGGCACTGGCTAAATCGAATTTCTGACTGACTGGTGAAGGAACTGACCTTGGACCATTGTGCCTGCACAAAGTTAATGTGCACTCCCCCGCCCCTGACCTTGGTTTAAGGCGTCTGATTTGGTTCTGAACCTGAGCCAAAGATAGTTAATGTGCAACTCCCTCCAGGCCCACTGAGCACCTTGGAGTTTTTAATGGGCAGTCTGAGTGGATTTAGGGTATCTGAATAACCTGATGCTCTATGAAGATTAAGTTAATGTGCAACTCCCTCCAGGCCCACTGAGCACCTTGGAGTTTTTAATGGGCAGTCTGAGTGGATTTAGGGTATCTGATACTATCTATGATTTATGCTCTACCTGAATTGATTTTTTCTTATTTTATTGATATGTTTATTACTGGTTTGTGGATCTGAGTAAATTTTTTTTTCCTTTGGAGAAAGCCTGGAACATGCTGCCTTTAAATTCTGAAAGTGACTCATGACTCAGAGGTTAAGAACCACTGTTATGTGATACCTGTATCTGAGCTCCAACTTGTGTAACTAGTGCTGCACAGTCTGAATAGGGATTCTGCTTGGAGTTCAGTCTCCTGGAGGGAGGTGAGACTGTGCCTGAATATATACAGTGAGAAGAAGCATGAATCTCAAGTACAAATTAAAGTTACTAGGAATGCTGAGGGGATCCAGGAGCACTTCATGGGGCGGAGGACAGCATTTGCAATGAAAGCTGAACAAAGTTAATTTGAAGTCTAAAGTCTAGTCACAGGGAGGAATGACAACAACCCTTACCTTTCATGTTTGATTTCAGAGGCCCTCTCCTTCCAAAGACTAAGTGATTTACTGATTTTTGCAGGACAGGTTGCTTGGAAGCGAGCTGTCAAAGGTGTTCGAGAAATGTGTGATGTGTGCGACACCACCATCTTCAACCTGCACTGGGTGTGTCCTCGGTGTGGGTTTGGAGTATGTGTGGATTGCTATCGGATGAAGAGAAAGAATTGCCAACAAGGTGAGAACCGATTTGATTCTCCTCCAGCCCCTCTACACAGTTAAATAAAGTTTTTTGTTGATTTATGTTTGGTGGGTTTCTTGAAGCATGTGGAGCCAGAGTCTATAAAGAACAGTTACTACAAATCAGTTATTTGCAGGTGCTGCTTACAAGACTTTCTCTTGGCTAAAATGCGTGAAGAGTCAGATACATGAACCAGAGAACTTAATGCCCACACAGATCATTCCTGGAAAAGGTATTTCATGTGCTGCAGTGATTTTCTTTCCCTTTGTCTTGGTTAACTCATGGGGGCTGGTAGTTTGGTTTTACTTTATCACTCGCTTAAGTTTATTTTTGTCCAGAATTGTATTAAATAATTCCTCCAACACTTTTTGATTAAAGTTTTATAGGATAATTTTGTAGAAGAAAAGAAAATGTATTTTGTGGAAGGCCTCTGGAGCAGGATGAAAGGGAGGGAGTTGGAAAAGTAATCCTGTGGGGAATGCCAGCTTCTGCTGTGTAACGTTGAGGTTGAAAGTACCTAATACCCTTGTTCAGATGTTTGCCTCTGCCCTTTCTAGCCCTGTATGATGTTGGAGACATTGTGCATTCTGTAAGAGCGAAATGGGGAATAAAGGCAAACTGCCCTTGTTCAAACAGGCAATTCAAACTCTTTTCAAAGCCAGCCTCAAAGGAAGACCTAAAACAGGTATTTACTGCTTATGTTAAATTCACCATCCCTTGTAATTGTCATTTGTCTGTTTTTCAAATAACCCAAGGATTTCTGTCAGTGCGTTTGAAAGGAACCTGGGGATAGTAATCAGTGGAAAGAGAGAGAGAAATAATTCATACATTTCATGTGGCAGTTCAGAGACCTGTTCTGACTTTTCACATTACTTTTGTAGACTCTTCTGTGGCCTCTTTTAGTAGGTTTTACATTTTTGTTTCTTGAAAAAGCAAAAGGTTCTATAGTAGTCTATCTAATAAGTAGCTGTCGAGTTTGTAAAGGGTTTAAAAAAAATTCTGTGTATTTTGCAGAATTAAAATTATTCAGATAAGCCTTAACATTTTAAAAATTACGTAATATATTTTGCCTACGTTTATGAAAAGTTGAAGGAAATAATGATAAAATGAACCTTTAGTTGCCCATCATGCAATGTAAAAAATGTTAATTTTCTCAGTCCTCATATGTCTCCTTGGTGGCATCCCTCTCCTCTCCACCATCACATGTGTGCCTTGCTCTCCCTTCTCCTTGTTGCAGTAATCAGTATGCCGCATTGTGTTTAATAATCAGAAATTTACATTTCTATAAAGCTGTGGTGTCATGGGCAGGATGGGAGAGCAGAAGACTTGTAATATTTGGAGTCAGAACTGAATGTGAAGTCTTTTCCTTCCGCTTGCTAGTTGTGTTACTTTGGCTAAAGTGAGCTGGTTTCTATGTGGTTCAGCTTCCTCATCAGTAATATAGAAATAATAAGCAGTATTGATGATTGGGCATCACAGAATTATATCATATGTAAAGAGAGGGCCTGGACCACAACAGGAGTTTGGATATTTTTTTTCCTCCTTCTTATGTATGTATAAACTGGCTCTTGTCAGTTTTAAAAATTATTTTCTTCTACAGCAGTCATCTTAGATTTAATTTATGAGTTCTTTTAAGAGCTCCTCATCACATTTTTAAAGCTAAGTCAAAATAGCATTTTCTCTTTCTCTGCATCCCATTTCCTTCTGAAATCACAGCTTTACCTTTCCTGCCTGCCTCATTTATTCATTTTCAACCATGTTTTCTGTGCCTATCCTGGATTCTGGGATGAGTTCACAGGGGAGACAGGCACAAACTGGTCATTTTAAACCAGCATGGTACATAGAGTAATAGGGATATGTACCAGCAGGGGCTGGTAAAAGGGTGCGCGGGGTAATATCTTGCTGTGTTTTAAGTTGCTAACATCTCTTCTACCTTGTAGTTACTCTCTACTAGTGTGGGATTACTGCAGCTGTGGGGATACCCAGGGCTAGCTATTAGGTGGTTTTGTTCTGGATATTTATCTTACTTGTCGGTCGG